GGGAGGGAGGGGAAAAATGAGGACCTAATGTTGGGGGTTTAAGTGGAGAGAAAATGTTTTGAGAATGATGTACAAATGCGCTTTACACAATTGATGTATATGGATTGCGACAACAGTTGTATGAGCCCCTAATAAAATGTTTAAAAAAAAAAAAAGAACACAAGATATGATAGCAAGCATGATGAGTAGAGGAAAAGAGTACATTTGATCTGTGTGTGTGTTTTCTTGGTGGTACATGCATGCATCCTTGAGTGCACAAGTGGAGACACGATTATGGGTAAAACAGTGTACACCATGTTCTTATGTTGTAAAATCAGAAACAACAGCTAAAGAGGGGTCAGGGTGGATTTTGGTTGCAAAATTTTAGATTTTTAAATTCGTGATTTGGGGGGGGGGGGAGTCTCAACTCCCACTTATAAATCCTGACAGAATCAGCACAAATGGATCACTGCCATCTGTGCTTTGTAAATTCCTTTTTTCCTGCCTGTCAGAATGGCGACACAAGCACTAATCTCTGGACAGTCAGACAGGCAGCCCCTCTCTCCTCCTTATCTCCCCTTCCACCCTTCACTTAACAATCTATCAATCAAACCAAAAGCAAGGAAAGGGGCAGGAGCCTGAAGGCTCCTCCAACACTTCAGCTGGCAAGTCAGAGGCCAGGGTGTCAATAACAATTCAGACTACGTCTATCTATATAAGAAAGGGAGGCTAGAACAATCCTGAGGAGAAAACAGGACCAGCAGTTCGGGGGGGACATGGGAGAGGAGGAGGGGAGTGGGGAGCCAACAAACTCAGAGATAAGGGAAAAACAGAGATTAAAATTGATGGCAAGGAAGGCATACAATGCCTGGTGGGGTTTAATCAAGTGCAATATATCTGAGAGGAATTACTGAGAGCCAAATGGAGGGTGAGCATGATAGTGGGATAAGAGGAAGATGAAAGGAAATAGAGGAAAGAAATAGAAGGCAAAGCTATTTATAGAGGTATAGCTATAAGTAGGTATATATGTAAATATATGACTTCATAATGAAAGGGATAGAGGCCAATGTACATATATTTATATGTTAAGTATTAAGATAGCAGACAGACTTTGGGCCTCTACTCAAGGCCTCCCTTAACACAAGAACACTTTGTTCTGATAACCTGGCACTCTTTGATCCTCACCTTCCTGACACAATCGCTGAAGACAAAATGGGTGCATAAGCAAATGTGGTGAAGAGAGCTGATGGTGCCCAGCTATCAAAAGATAAAAGGGTCTAGGGTCTTAAAAGGCTTGAAGTAAAACAAGCAGCCATCTAGCAGGGAAGCAAATAAGCCCACATGGAAAAGCACACCAGCTTGTGTGATCATGAGATGTTGACAGGATCAAGTACAGGTATCGAAAGATCCAAAACAAACGATGTTAATGCGAACAAGGGGGGTTGGAGTGGAGACCCAAAGCTCATCTATAGACAACTGGATATCCCCCCACAGAAGGGTTAAAAGGAAGGGATGATTGGACCAAGGTTCAGTATAGCACCGAGAAAACACATCATTCCTCTAGTTCCTGAATGCTTCCTCCCACCAACTACCATGACCCAGTTCTACCTTGAAAATCTGGCTAGACTAGAGAACACACATTGGCATTGGTACAGACAAGAGCTCTGGACACATGTAATTCAGGGCAGATAAACCCCTCAGGAACAGTAGTGGGCACGGCAATATCATAAGGATAGGGGGATGGTCACAGAGGGGAAAGTGGGAGAAAGGGGGAACCTATCACAAGGCTGGATATATAGCACACACACACACATCCCACAAAAGGGACGAATAACAGAAATGTGGGTAAAGGAAGACAACGGACAGTGTAAGATATGAAATAAAAATAACAATATATAATTGATCAAGGATTCATGAGGATAGGAGAGTGAGGGAGGGAGGAGGGACAAACAGGAGCTTATACCAAGGGTTCAAGCAGAAAATGTTTTGGAAATGATGATGACAACATATGTAAAAATATGCTTGATACAACTGATGTATGGAATGTTATAAGAGCTCTAAGAGCCCCCGATAAAATGATTTTTTTTTTTAATTCAGACCGGCAGCAGTTGCTAAAAGCCATCTCTGGTCTCTTCTAGAACTCTGGAAGCAATGCAATGAGCCCTGCCAAAGAGGTAGGGGTGAGCAAAAGCAGGAGAAAGGAAATCCACATCCTAGGGAGAGAGCAGATTCTCTCAGCCACAGTCTGAGATACTTAAATACTTAACAAGAGGGGTGGGGTGGGGAAGAGCCTAGAGGTAGATACTGTGAATACATGTCACAATTCTACCCTCCACCACAGACTCCACTGCCTTCTATTGAAAGGAAAGACTCCAGTCAAGACACTTCCAAAATTTTATGAGTCTTTCTTCTTTATGATAGTTCCCAACTCTGAGCACACAATTCCTAGATTACATTAAAACCTCTGCTTTTTTGTTTTGGTTTTGCTGGTTGTCTTCACATGGAAGGAACACTCCAAGCCACGTAGGCAATAAACAAGTCCACATCTCAGAAAGAAAATCTTATTAAGAAGTTTTCAAGCTTTTCTTATCAACCATTGTATTAATCATCATTGACTGAGCACCTATGATGCCCCTGCCCCAAGTCCTGGAATCCTGGTTCCTCAAAAGTCATTCCAACAGCGGCAAGGTTTCTAGCTTTCTTTTCTCTAACTTGCCTCTTTCCCTCCTCCATACAAAAAAATGCTCTCTCCCTGTACGCTGTGTTTTTATCTTCCAGCAACTTCATGTACTTAAATAATTCTTTGCATCAGTAGCTAAAAGCCTTATGAAAAGACATCCTTCTGAACCAAATTGTATTTAAACATTTATTTAAATAATTCTTTGTATCAATAGCTAAAGGCTTTATGAAAAGACACCCTTCTGAACCAAACTGTCCAAAAGAGTTGAGGGAGTATAGTAAGCAACTGAAAGACAGGCTTCATTCTTGCAGTAGCATCAAACTACATAACAAGATTTCTGCTTCTAAAAGTATATTCCAGCCATTTTATCCCCCATGCCCCGCTCCCCTCGCCGCCCCCCCCCCATAAAAACAGAAGCCTACTCTCTTTCCTTTTTATTTCATTCCACTGCCCCAGTCTCACAGTCTCTCCGGAAAGCAAGGCTCACAGGATGGCTAAATTATTAAGGGTCAAAACTTCCTGGCACCAAGGTGCATTCTTGTGAATGTACTGCGTCTTTCAGCCCAATTATAACCTGAAGGGTAGCCAACCAACCAGTCCCTATACCTGTGAGAGAGAAAATGGGTTCCATTTGCTTCTCTGCTGGAGACCATCATGGACATTTAAACTTAAATCCAACATGAAACTAAGCTACATTAAATCTTTCACCCACAGACAACCACGGGGCTTAGAAGATTGCAACATGCATCAAGTGTTCTAAACAGAAAGGAAAATGAAGGTCACTTAGAAGAATTGCTTCTCAACACAGGAACTCATCTCTGTAATCTTACCAACAATGATTATAGACATGGGAGTACGGCAAGTGCTTTCTGAAGTCAGATGTGGGGAACAGTTCCAGTGGGGAATAGAACAGAAGCAAGAACTCCTAGGTCTTAGGTCTCTTTAAAACAGTATTATCCATCTGCACCCCAGAGAAAATGTCAACTCACAGCCAACACAAGATGAGTCATGCCAGTAACCAGCTGCAACTTGACTCTGCTGAGGTAGACCATAGCATTTGACACCTAAACACAGGGAATCTCTCTGGCAGCTGCCACTGGGAAAAGGAAACGAACGATTGTGTTATTAGTGGAAGAAAGTCACAGCCCAGTTACCAGAGAAGCCCAGATGTTGCGAAGAAGTACAGATGTGCCAGAAGCTGAGGCCAAAATACCTACAGAAAAGAAAGCACATGCTACTTCTAGAATCCAGGCACTAAAAGGGCACCACCCAAACATACACATCCAGCCCTCTACTTATTAACAATTACATTATGGAAATAGGTATTCCCTGCTGCAGCTGATGTAATTACAGAGAAATCAATTTATACTGCATCTGCTGGGATCAGCTGAGAGCACAGGGTGCGCAGAGCACAGTGCAGAAAATGAAGAGCAATGAACAGCTCATCACCAGGCCAGCCACCTTGCAGGAAAGCTGCTGAAGAGCCTGAGCTGACCCTAGACTCACATCCACCCTGTTCTAGCCTTTTAAGTTCCATTTCCTGAGATGTGAACCAAGATAATCTTCCAAGGAGGGACTCAGACTTAACCTCTCCTGGGTTTGAAGGCAGCTGGCCTCCCAAATCAAGCAGCTGGCAAGGTATCATTACACTATTTGGCAGCTAGTAAATCACCAGGATACTGATTCCCAATTATTCCGAGATACCTGGTCATGAGTTACACCTTTAACAGTCAAAGAATCTCATCCTAAGCCATCTTTTCATAGCACAACGCTAAGTCATACTGCCTAATGAAGTATCTCTGGCACCAAAATGGTATCCTTTTGCTATGTGGTAGTTCTCAAAAGGGCAAAGAAATCAGTGAGACCCACGCAGCCCTGTGCAGCCTGAGTTTCAGAGACCCGGCAAACCACTTAACCCATAAGAATTGTAAACCTATACTTTGTAATTGAGAGGCCAGTTAAGAACGCTAACCACACAAAGATTGGATGCCAACCTTTAGCATCAAGTCCTAGAGTTACACAAAAACAAGCCAGGAGAGTCTCTACTTTGCCTTTAGAAAATTCATTCTATCAAGTAGCTGCCCCTAACAACAGATATCCTCCTCCAAAATGTCTAGTCCTGCTGTTAATGAGTCTGTAGGGAATTCCTTAATTTGGAACAAAACCACATTATCATTACCAGCTGCTCTGACCTCGTAATTGATCATTACCCACAAACTAATGAGCCTTCCACAGAACACACATAGCGGTTAGGCCAGGGCAGTTCTGATTGGCAGTAGGCCGGCAGATCTGTCCACCTCTTACCTTTTCACACTTGACTTTCTTTAGTGGTCGGCATTCATTCTCCCCTTCCTCTGGCTCCGGTTTAGCTCCCAATGGGTTGAGCGCTGCCCCAGGTTCAATAGCTATACTCCCAAGTGGCTCCACAGCTCCTGGATCTACCCCTGCATTTCCATCATACTGAGCACATCGTCCTCCCAAAGGAACTGGCTGAAGGACCCCAGGATCCTTTTCTGAACAAGTCCCCACCGCTTCACTTCTTTCCTTCTTGCTCTTGGATGAGCTGTTCTCCTTCTCCTTTTTGGAGCTGGCTACACTGCGTGATGTCTTAACTGTCTTCTCTGAGCCCTTGGGAACAATGGCAGCAACCAGGCTCCCTGCATTGGCACCATCTCCTGAGCGTCCCTGTACCTCTTTCTTGCTAGCTGCCCCTTCACTTGGCGTGAACAGGGAAGTTCCTGAGCTGGGTTTGCTAGCATCTTTGCCACTCTTACTCCTTTTGGATTTGGATTTGCCTTCCTTCCCTTGAGGACCTGGCACTGGAGTCACAAACTTGATGTTGTCGGGAAGTGTGGCCACAGCATTGGGAGCCGGTATCCCCACCTCCTTTGAGGCTGACATTTCCAGTTTCTGTTGGTCCTTTTCCAGATCGGCGTCCAGATCAATGATGAGATTCCCTACTCCAATGTCCCATTCATCCCCACTGTCGTATGTCTCAACCGGGTTTGCATCCACTCCTTTCCCTCCGGAGGCTCCACTGCTCAAGGACATCTTAGAGTCAATGGCCCACCTCAAGATTCCAGGCTCTTCCTTGCCCCCAGCTTTTCCTAGATTCAGCTTCAGCTACGTTCTCAGACCTGCCACAATGGTCAGTACATGCCCAGTGGACAGCATCATTGCTGGAAAGAGAAAAAGTAAAAAGCTGTTAAAGGAAACAATACAGGCAATAAGACAGCCTAAAATAAACTCTCACAGCCCAAACCCTTTCTATAAGGCTATCACATAACAGACAAGACAAACAGGCTCAACTGTCTTTTTAACCAAGTCACATTCCATCCAGGGAAAAGCTAATTCCCACTCCATCTCCCCAGGGAAGAGAACAATATTTCCAATTGCCCAGTGACTTTGTGGTGAATCTTAACTAGAAGTCCTCTAGAGTTAGTTTCCCATCCTGGAGAGACTTATTTCTAATATCACTGCCAGCTGACAATTCTCCCACAATCAATACAGGTTCCACCATCACACCACAAGTTCACACTCCAGCCCACTGGGCTCGAACCCCATTTCTCTTTCCTGCTTTTTGAGTTATCAGATGCTCAGATTAAGTCCAATCTAAGGCTTTAAAGGCCCTCTACTAACACAGCCTGTCCCAACTACAAGAAGTATAGATTCCTTTTCATTTTACTATTGAGAGAGGGAAAAAATGAATTACTAATCAGAGTAAATAAGAAAAGGCAAAAACAAACCAGAATGGGGGCGGGGGGGGGGTGTTTTACTCCATAATAGGGGCAAAGAATGCAACTAGCGAACACTAGCAAGTTCAGAAAAGTTAATTTGGCTTTATTAACTCCAGGCTTCAAACATCCAGATAGCAGAATTCAGTGAGGTCTTATGTTTCCCACTAAAACACCTATGAAGACACAGGGAAAGAGAATAATATATATGCTTATCAAAAACTGGACACTACCAGAAAATATAATGCCAGAATGTGCGATAACGCTCAACTTCCTGAACTTCAGACTGATGGTCTAATGCCAGATGAGAGAGAGATTGATACAGAGACTAGCTTTTAAGATTAAAAAAAAAAAAAAAATTAAAGGAAAGGTCTAAAACGGGTAAAAAGGAAATTTATACCTTCCCATTATCTAATGTATGAAAATTGGGGAGTGTCCCATTTACAAAACCTGGCAACCGTTTAAGTGTTTTATTATGAAAAATGGTATTCTTGTTCACTTCTCTGGCATCTTGCTTTATACATCCAGACAAAAACTTTCATGAACTGATGGAGCAGAGAACAAAGCAGAATCAGCACAACGTATCCTACCAGTGGATAATGCTACAGACAGGACAGAGGTGAAGACTGTCATACTTTCAGTGTCACAGAATCAAGGTGTGGGGCCAAAAGATGATGTCATCCTGATAGAGCTGTTCTAGGTGAATGTCTGTTAGCAACTAGAATTTCTGATGAATAGGTGTGCACATTAACCTCCCATTTAACTGACAAGAAGAAGATGTGTCCATTACTCAGGTAGAACTTAATGCCAACTGCAACTGGCCACTGTTTGTTAGCAAACATCAATTCTACATAACTCTTACTTCATAAAAGGGTGACCAAGAAAAGGGTGTGGAGAGGGAAATGATGCAGGATGTATTTTTTTAAAAGTCACTCACAAGGTGATGGAAACACAAGTCCTCTGAAGAGAATCCAGAATCCTGAAGAAATGTTTAATAAATGGTTTAGAATTCTCAAGCACACGAAATAGTATGGCACGTTTTTGTTCATTTATAAAAATTTCTTATTGTGTATTATGTACTTTACTATTGTGTAATAAAATAATAACAACAACAACAAACACAATTGCCACTGTGCTCCACACCTTTCTTCTGGTGCACCTCTGGATGGGTCTGAACTGCCAACCTCTGGATTAGTCATTGAGCACTTAACTTTTTGCACCACCCAGGGACTCCATAGGCACTAAACTTGGTATTGGGAATAAAGCAGTGAATAAGAAAACAAATATGGCTTATGTTCTCATAGATCTTATATAGCATGGTAGAACATGGTACATAAAATTCTATTATGAGGGGCAGCGAACATTTCAAAGAAAGGGAATGTTAACTGAATCTGCACTATAGAGGATTATTAGAGCATGGTTCCTCCCAACATCATGATTTTTCACCTCACCTCTGTGAGTTTGCAGTTGTGGCCACACCTAGATCATATCTCACCCTGATCTAAGGCCTCTCCACTACTCCAAAGCTGTACCATCAGGATGTAATTTAAACATGAAAACAACTCCATGTGTTTGTCCTCATAAAAACAATAAAACTCTCCTTAGATTCTGAAGACTTTCTTTTAGCACATCAGACAGTAATGGAACAGATACTTTGGAAGAGTATACAGAAGAGAACATGTAAAAAATGTTAGTTAGTGCTCACTGACTGAAAGATTCTGGCAGCTCTCAGTCCACTGTAGTAGCTGCCCTGTACTACGTGGCAGGGTACACAAAGTATGCCAAGAAGGGAGAACATAGAGATAAGAGACTGAAATAAAAAGATATGAACTTAGATGAAAAGACAAAACAGATGTCATCAAACAAAAACAAAGATGATGCAAGGAAACATGACAAGATAATAATTTATAAGTTATCAAGGGTTCGTAAGGGAGGGGGATGGGGAGGGAGGGGAAAAATGAGGAGTTGATACCAAGGGCTCAAGAAGAAAGAAAATGTTTTGAGAATGATGATGGCAACCAATGTACAAATGTGCTTGACACAATGGATG